TCTTTAAAAGGACCTCTTGGGCTACATGCAGAATTGGCTGCGGGCACACAATATGAAATCTTTGTCCTGCGTGCAACCAGCAGTGTGATTTTACACGCACGCGGACTAGAAACGCACGTGCCAAATCTGCTACACAGGAAAAAAACACTAAGCCGTATTTTGCTTACATAACATTTTATAACAAAACCTTACCAAAAATTTTATTGGAAAAAGTCAGTCTCTTTAGCGGCAAAGATCACGATCACATTGTCCATTGAACTGGCATTTGAAAAAAAAGGCGGGAACGTTTGACACCTGTCAAAATATTACGCGCAACACAGACTGTATTGCAACAATAAACATTCTCATAGACCGGTAAAATGTTTATCAAGATGGATTTGCACTTAAATTGTAACCAACAACAACTTTTGATTCCTATCTATGGAGCATTGAGTTATTATTCGATTTTTAGATATTTAATCCATCTCCATGTAAACCCAGCTTTAACAACTGAGAGCAAATACGGTGGTGCTACGCGAAAAACAATAATTGAGCGCCATCCACTTTATTGGCTGCTCGGCGAATGTTCGCGTTGAGTGGTNATAATACGGCGGTTCACGCGTCGGTACGGCGACACCTCACCTCTACCGCGTTAAAGAGTTTTTGTTTCACAAACACAAAATTGATTTGATTTTAATTATAACTTAATTAAAGCTTTAATGTATCGCGTTTTCATGATATACGTCAAATATCCAACCATTCACATTCCATCCAGAAATGCCTTACAATGAAAACATAAAATTCCAATAAAACTCAAAATGGGTCGATTCGTGGCTACAAAACTACCCGCAAGTTGCAATTACAAACATTAATAACATGCGCAACAGGCAATAAATCGTGAATAATTAATTAGTGGCATTAAACGATAATGAGTGCCTCAGGGCACGCACTTGAGGCAGAATGAGGCAGAGTTGTAGAGAACTTTCATGTTTTAATATTATGATAAAGGTATGTTGAGAAGAATAAACTAAGCCTGGTTAGCATCGTTCGTTTCAGCCAAATGACGTCCACTGCTGTACAAAGGCTTCCCCCAAGGTTTTCCACAATGAACGGGCCTGCTCTTCCCGCGACCTTTACCAGATCCTCGGTCCACCTAGTGGGAGGCCTGCCCACGCTACGTCTTCCAGAAGTCAATCGTCGAATCTAACTCGGATTCCCTGCGTGATCGAATCAGAAATGAGGAAATCAACAGTAGAACCAAAGTGACCGACATAGCTCGCAGAATTGCTAAAATCAAGTGGCAGTGGGCGGGGCACATAGCTCGTAGAGACGATGGCCGTTGGGGCAGGAAATTTCTCAAGTGGCGACCACGGGCTTGGCTTTCAAGACGTAGACGTGGGTAGCATCATCTTACTTTAACTTTAACAGATGTCAAAAGTATAAAAAAGCTCCTAACTAAAAAATACCCGAACTGGTTAATTACGGTTAAGTAAGGTGGTAACTCGTAACTCAGCCTAGTATTCAATACCGGTAAACGGGGCCAGTACCAAACAAGTATACCTAGATTTTCCGCCCTTTTTCTCTAGGACTATTACTGAAGTGATTTTTATAAGTTTCCCATTCGCCCCCAAGTCCCAACAGTAAAAAGGCGGGGTGGCGGCTGGGAAGGGGGCAGCAATAACATGTTAATGTGCCGTTCGCCGCTAATCGGGCGCGCCGACTATTCATTTCGTTACGACTGTTAGGGGCAGGCTTACATGGAGACTTTTTAATCCTTAAAAAAATTATATTGAAATCCGAATTATTTTATTCGGACATAACATTTTTAAGGATATTTGTAGGAGTCATGGTAAGAAAACGATAACACATCACATGTCTAAGGATACTAGTAGGAGTCATGGTAAGAAATCACATCACATGTCCAATGCAGGAGGAAACCCTCTATAATTTACCTGAGGTAAATAAAATATTTGCCTTACACTCTGGCCAGACGAGTTGGGGAGACTTTGCCCTACACTCTAGCGTACAGGTTGGGGAGGCTCATTTTCTTCCTTAGTCGTCTCATATTATTATGACATCCACGGGAAGAAATGGGGGGAGGTCCAATTCTACTCATTCAGAACCACGTGGATAAAAAATATAATTTTTTGAAGTCATAAAGCCAATTAGAAACTCAAATCAGGATTCACTGTACCTTCTGAAAAATCAATATTGATTTCTAATTATTTCTGGATTCACTGGTACTTGAAGGGTTAATCAGACAATATTCTTCCCAGCTATATTCTTGCTAAGATTTACATATTTCGTTCATTTCAGCCGAAAGATGTCCTCTGCTGGAAAAAGGCCTCCCGCGTTGGATTTCCACAAAGACCGGTCCTGCGCCGCTCACATCCAGGCACCTCTCGCGACCTCACCAGAGCGTGGGCAGACATCCTACTAGGTGGACCGACGTCCACCTAGTAGGATGTCTGCCCACGCTATGTCTTCCGGCCCGTGGTCGCCACTAGAGAACTTTTCTGCCCCAACGGCCACTCTACGAGCTATGTGCCCCGCCCACTGTTACCAAAAACGGATTTGTATTAAACTTATTTATTTATTTATTTAAAGCATAGCTAATTACTGTTACTATATTTGTTGATATTTAGCAATCTCCATGTAAACCCAGCTTTAACCACTGAGAGCAAAATTAAATACGGTGGTGCTACGCGAAAAACAATAATTGAGCGCCATCCACTTTCTTGGCTGCTCAGCGAATGTTCGCGTTGAGTGGTTAGTGCTGGATTTGGCCAAAAAAGTGGTATAAAATATACGTAAGTGGAGACAATAAAGAAAGGTGATTCTTATTATTTGGAGTAGTCTTTTTAATTAGTAGCGCATTGAACACTAACTTTAAGATAAAATTTTCATACTAAACACCACTTTAAAGCTCATAGCAGACTTATCACCTCGGAAATTAAACAACATATCGCCTTTCGCGCGATATCAATCGCGAGGCGAGGCGTTTACGTTACGGTGCGGATAAGCGACAGCGCAAGAGTTTCAACAAAGAATACTGACCGCCTCGAGTTGATACGGTTACGATCCCTTTCCGGGTTGATAAATGTGCGACGACCTTTACACTTGGAATCGAACCAAGAATGTCCCAGATANCCTAGATAGACAGGACTTACACACTCGTAAGGTAACACTATATTTCACCGGGACACCATGGCGGCGCAACCAGTCGCCGCTACCAACAAAATGTATGCAGCTTTGCGCAACCAAACGGACACCAGGTGAGTAACTCTCTATAGAGCTGCATACATTTTGTTGGTAGCGGCGACTGGTTGCGCCGCCATGGTGTCGCGGTGAAATGTAGCCCTAACAACTAGACCACGATGGCAATTTCGTACAGAGTTATGGAGGGAAATATAAAATAGAAACCAAGATACGAAAAGGACACATTTATTTATCTCTCATATGTATATGATATTTTGTTTATAACTATGCGTATACTACCTCCACTCATTTATATACAACAATTAAATAATTTATATTCACTAATTAGGACTATTTACAGTAATGGCTAATAGGACAAATCAGGCATAATAAGTAAATACAATATTTTGAGTTATTAAATGTAAACAAAAACAATGAACTTGAGCTGAAAAACAATCGAAATCAATGCAATTACCTACTACTTTACATCAATGGTGAGGCTTATTTAGAACCTTAATGTTTTAGGCCCAGAACAGACGGTGAAACGCAACTGCAACGAAACTGCAACTGCCTAGTTACTTTTGAGTTGCATCTAAGTTTCTGCCATAGCGTCCGTTGAGAGACCACACATGACGCGACCAGTTTGAAACTTTCAGTTTCAGTTTCATTCATCAGAATCATCAGAAAGTTGCAGTTTCGTTGCAGTTGCGTTTTACCGTCTGTTCTGGGCCTTAGTTGAAGGTTTTGTATGTGATGGTAAATGTGTTTGTGATTTTTCCATATTCTTTGTCATCTTAATTTTTATCCACATTTATAGAAATAAACTAATTTGATTTGATTTGTAATATGTATGCTGATTGTTAAAACTATTTCAAAAGAGATGTTATGGTATAATCAATTTACGTTGTTTTACAAAATTTCAAAATTTTCAAGATTGATAAATGAGCCATGTTTACATTTTATGGCTTACAGATGACTGTAAATTCAGGCATAGAAAGGCAAACATAATAAAAATAAGTTAAATCTAAATGTTTAAGCTCGACACACATAAAAGGTTTGCAATAATAAAATGCATTATTAAAAATAGTTTAAGAAACATTTGATATAATAAATTGAAAACAATTTTTATATTATAAAGTCAGTCACAAACACAAATCTATAGTGATGATTAGATACAAGTTCCAATTATTTACAAATTATATTTTTACATTTAGAAATGTTTACATTAAATTATACGTGCAGTTATGTAAATTTAGGACAGTAATGATAGTGTCATGTGTAACAGTTATTGCTACGTTTACATTTTTATATTATTTTTGTAAAAATCATTATTTTATTTTATCAAATAATATGGCAAGATGTTCTACTGTGATACAACTTGATTATGACACATTATTTACACAATAAAGCTACATTTAACATTATTATCCAAATTCTACCACTAATTTTACTAGTAAATAGTGTGATAGATTCCACTTCTAAAAAGTTTTGGTTCAAATTATCGAATTAAGTTTTGTTCACTTGGTTCAGACCATGAATGATTATTTCTAAAAAAATGCACATTTAAAACAATAAAGAACACACACATTATGTATAATATAAACTCTGCAATAGTTTAGTGTATGCCTACTCGTTATATTAATATTTACATTATTGCTCTTGTTTAAATTTTTATATAACTACGATATAAGTTTACAAGGTAAAGCTTATGGAAACCAGTTTCTAAAGCTTATGACTTTGAAATTTACAATTTAAAAATTATTAGAAGATACAATTAAGATACAAAGAGAATTTTACAATTCAAATTATTAGTATGTTGGAAATATTACTCCAAATTATTAGGAAAGTTACAAAAAATTTGTAATGTAAACCTTTATAAGAAACACATTAAAAAAACCAGCCATTGCAGTTTACACACCTGACGAAAAAAATGTAAATTCACATCACTAAAGTTTACACTTGCCAAAAAACTAGTTCAGAGTATCTTGCACCTTGTTACCAAGTGCTAAGGTCTACACCATCTGGAGGCCTTTCAGGCTTTCCACGTGTTCCTTGGCCTTCATGCGAAGGGCTGCTATGGAGGATGAGCGGGGGTCCGGGGGGGCAGGCGGCGCGGGAGGCGCGGGCGCGGGCGGGGTCAGGTAACTCGGGTAGCCGGAGGGTGGGTGGCTGAGGAACCCTGGAAGAGAGAGGTAAAATATGAGTATATGACTGCTTAAAGCTTTGACATAGATATCTTTAAGATACCATGGCTCTTAGAAGACGATGTCCCATGTAAAGTACATCTTACATAGGACGTAGTGTTCTAAGAGCCATTTATTGCCAAGTAGTAATGTGGGCAGGTCTTCCGCTAAAGGTTCCAAGGCCAAACTAACGCGATCACACGCGATCTGCCGGCGTGCAGCGATGGTGAGCAGACTTAAATGCATTGATGGTCATCGCTGTACGCCGGCTGATCGCGTGTGATCGCGTTGGTTTGGCCGAACCTTAAGGGATCGACGATCTGGTGAAGGTCGAGGGTACCTGAATGCGGGTAGCGCAGAACCAGTCGTTGTGGAAATCCTTGGAGAAGGCCTTTGTCCAGGACGTCATTGTGGCCGGTACGTGGCCATTCCAGAATCTTGCTGCACTATCGGCTGCCAGTTTTGCGTGTATATGCCCTGTGCATTGCCACTTCAGATTGATAATCCATCGGGCCATGTTAGCGACATTAGTTCGTTTACGGATCTCCTCATTGTAAAGAAACTTCGTGAATTATCTTCAAGGTGAGAGTGAATAGGCACTTACGGACAGGTATGTACCATCCTAGTCCGCATCTCACTTAACATCGGGTGCGATTGCAGTCAAATACTATCTGATTTGTGCGGCATAAAAAATCTATAATTAAAGCGCACCCGATGAAGCAGTGAGTAGCGGTGGTGCTAGCCAAGGGTTGAGTGATCCTGCGTAACACCTCTCCAGCCCTTCATACTCTGAGAGCCCCATTTCTAGCGAGCTGTTTCCATTATTAATCTACATATAATTTGAGCTTACCCGGTAAAGCAGTGAGTAGTGGTGGTGCCAGCCAAGGGTCTACCGGCAGCCCCAGTCCACTGAGCCTGGGTATCGCGCCTCCAGCCCCGCAGCCGTACTCTGAGAGGCCGAGACGAGCTGCCTCCATCTTCTCTTGGCGACGCCATTTTGCTCTGCGGTTTTGGAACCAGACCTGAGGAGAAAACAGTTGAATTATTATTTTGGTCAATGGTACACAAATAAGATCTCGTGGGGCGACCACGGATCGGAAGACGTAGTGTGGCCAGGCCTCCCACCACGTAGACCGTCGATCTGGTGAAGGTCGCGGGAAGGAAGGCTTTGCTCAGCATTAGGCTGAATGAAACGAATTAACGAACAAATAATGTGTCCTGCTCCATTTCATTATGTAACATCTAATGTACCACATTCTGCAAATAAATAATTTGAATTTGAATTTGAATAAGGCCGAGTTGCACTACTTAACTTTAACGGTAAAGGTAGCCTTTCGAACTAAGCGTCAATGACGCAGTGTCTTTAGCTTTGGTCTTAAAGGTAGCCTTTCGAAGCGAGTTAGTGACGCGGCGTTGATGGCACAAGACCAAAGCTAAAGAGGCTGCGTCTGTGACGCTTAGTTCAAAAGGCTACCTTTAACTGTAACTGTTTGTATTAAGTTTGACAGATTTGTGACGTTTGTTATAGATAAAGTAAGATGGTGCAACCCAGCCTAAGAATCTGCATTCAGGACGCGACCATGTCTAATCTTCCCTTGGATATCGTAAAAGATGACTTAGAAATAAAATTATGCAACCATCAGGCGTCCCCAACACCGCCAGCTAGCTTGAGGAGTGTAGCCCAAATCATCCATATGTCTGACAAATTAGAGAGGACGTGCAGTGGAGACTGAATGACCTGACGACACTTTTGGCTGAACTGATAGAGGGACAAGGTGAAGGTACATTAGTACCTTAGAATACATTGATTTTATATTATTTTTACGACATTCTTTCATCACGTCTTTTACACGATTTACTTCAGCACCAGTGAACTTTTAACAGCTTTTAGCAGACAAATCCAATAAAACGATCCATTGAACCCCGTATACAGTTTCATTGTCAAACATATTTAATGCTAGCGACAGGCGATCAGCTCGCATGCCGCTAACTCGGTGTCTCTGCCAGGAATCGAACCCGTCACGCGATCGCCCCGTATTTTTATCATCCACCGACCCCTGAATATATCATTTCACACTACACTTTGACACCACATTCATAACACTTCAACTTTCTTATTTGAACTCTAATGTGTGGAGATTAGGTTCGATATTGTTTGCGGAATAATTTTAGGGTAAATGTACGGTGATGGTACGTACACCATTTATATGATTGGGAGCGTGTTTCATGCTTTCCCATATTCAAAGTTAGTTTTGTTATGTCTGGCTTAAAACCGTTTAGAAGTGACGTGTTTTCTTTGATTTATTGGCTCTAAGGACGCCTTTTGGCTTTTGTTGGGGGAAGTTTTGTAATGGATAGAAGGACATTAATTAAGAAAACTTTGGTGGAGGTGATTTTTCACTGATTCCAGTTTTGTGTTCTGACGGTTTTATGCGGAATGAAATTGTTGTGCCTGAGTTTGATTAACTGAATACTGTTTTGGAGTTTTATTACATTGACTTAAATAGGTATGTGATGGTACACCATCTTCTTTCTGTTCTTCAGAACAGACTGTTCAATTCTTATGAAATGTGGTCCAGTTGATAATAAAGATTATTATAAAATGGGAGATATATTATTAGTAAGTGCCTGAGCGTGGGTAATTTAAGAGTAAAGTCGGTAGAAAATATTATTACCTTTTCCTGCACTTGGGTAAATAATAGTCTTAAAATGATACTAATATGAAACCGCAAGTTTTTCTTCGATTATTTCAGTTTCATTTTACTTATCTTGTTACGTATTCAATAAATACTACATTTCTTATGAAAGCGGAACTACGCCATCTGTTTTTCAAACTCAGAACTAATTCCAACAACCACAGTGTACAAACACCAATTATCGACACTCAACCAGTGTTGGCGGCATTCCGCCGAGTTAGCGCGCGAACTAGCTCACGGCATGACTTTGATTGCTCCGTTCATTGCCTGTTTACAGCCCTAACTAGGGGTGGCAATCAAAACTTTTGGGTTCATAAAGTTTTTATGGTTTTTGCTAAGTATAAGTATAAAGTAGCCTAAATAATAGATTTTGTGCTATTTCAAAGAATAAGTTTCGAGACCAGTGCCGTAGTTTTTGAATGACGGAGAGACACATTAACGTTTTGGTGTATAAATGTGAACGTAGCTCTGTCTGTTAACTCTTCACGCTTATACCACAAACTACACTGATTTAGATGAAAGATAAGATAGATTAGGACTCAGGGGAAAACATGGGATATTTTCTATCCCGATTTTTGAAAGAGCGCAAAAGTCATACTGATTCACGCGGTCGAAAACTAGCAAAAAATATAAAAAAATCTACACAAACTACGCTTTTCATGATGTAACCTCTTTTCGTTTAAATATTAGCAACCCTAGTAACCTATATTCAAGGTTGCCAACGGCACCAAATAAACAAGGCTCGAGTATCGAAACGCACGTAAGGCAGGTGAATTTATTCCTTTCATTTGTATTATGGGGGACGATAAGTTAATTTTATTGTTCGAGATTTTTCTTTGACAGGCATGGAAACAATCATATTTTTCGTGTTTTGGAATCTTTATGATGTTATAATAAGGAAGGTTTCCTGCATTTCATTCAGGATTAATATTCAGAAAGTATGTTAGTAAAATTTATGCTCAAAAATAAGCTCTAGAATCTAATTATCCTGTAATTGACCCAATTTTAGCAGATTCATTCAAGCCAAGTTCCAATTTCAGTATTCAGATGTCCTCGCAATCAGAAATCAGTGGTCCAAGATTCGAAGTTAGGCTTTTAATCGGATCATGATTATTATAATTATAATATAATAATAATNACTTATTATTTATAAAAATGCACATTTAAAACAATAAAGAACACACACATTATTTATAATATAAATTCTGCAATAGTGTACGCCTACTCGTTATATTAATATTTACATTATTGCTCTTGTTTAAATTTTTATATAACTACGACATAAGTTTACAAGGTAAAGCTTATGGAAACCAGTTTCTAAAGCTTATGACTTTGAAATTTACAATTTAAAAATTATTACAAGATACAATTAAGATATAATGAGAATTTTACAATTCAAATTATTAGGATGTTGGAAATATAACTCCAAATTATTAGAAAAGTTACAAAAATTTTGCAATGTAAACCTTTATAAGAAACACATTAAAAAAACCAGCCATTGCAGTTTACACACCTGACGAAAAAAATGTTAATTCACATCACTAAAGTTTACACTTGCCAAAAAACTAGTTCAGAGTATCTTGCACCTGGACCAAGTGTTGAAGTCTACACCATCTGGAGGCCTTTCAGGCTTTCCACGTGTTCCTTGGCCTTCATGCGAAGGGCTGCTATGGAGGATGAGCGGGGGTCTGGGGGGGCAGGCGGCGCGGGGGGCGCGGGCGCGGGCGGGGTCAGGTAGCTCGGGTAGCCAGAGGGCGGGTGACTGAGGAACCCTGGAAGAGAGAGGTACATAATTAGTATATGACTGCTTAAAGCTTTGACATAGGTATCTTTAAGATACCATGGCTTTTAGAAGACGAAGCCCATGTAAAGTACATCTTACGTCATAGGACGTAGTATTTTAAGAGCAGTGGGCAGGTCTTCCGCTAAAGGTTCCAAGACCAAACTAACGCGATCACATGCGATCAGACGGCGTGGAGCGATGGTGAGCAGACTTAAATGCATTGATGGTCATCGCTGTACGCCGGCTGATCGCGTGTGATCGCGTTGGTTTGGCCGAACCTTAAGGGATCGACGATCTGGTGAAGGTCGAGGGTACCTGAATGCGGGCAGCGCAGAACCAGTCGTTGTGGAAATCCTTGGAGAAGGGCTTTGTCCAGCAGTCGACGTCATTGTGGACGCTACGAGGCCATTCTAGAATCTTGCTGCACTATCAGCTGTCAATTTCGCGTGCTGTGTGCCGTGCCCATTGCCACTTCAACTTGCTAATCCATCGGGCCATGTTAGCGACATTAGTTCGCTTACGGATCTCCTCATTTCTGATTCGATGTTGTAAAGAAACTTCGTTAATTATCTTCAAGGCGAGAGTGTATAGACACTAACAGAGCAAGTATGGACCATCCTAGTCTGCATCTCACTTAACATCGGGTGTGATTGCAGTCAAATACTATCTGATTTGTGCGGCATAAAAAATCTAAAATTAAAGCGCACCCGATGAAGCAGTAGCAGCGGTGGTGCTAGCCAAGGGTCGAGTGATCCTGCTTATCACCTCTCCAGCCCTTCATACTCTGAGAGCCCCATTCTTGCGAGCTGTTCTCATTAATGAATCCATAATTTCAGCTTACCCGGTAAAGCAGTAAGCAGTGGTGGTGCCAGCCAAGGGTCGACTGGCAGCCCCAGTCCACTGAGCCTGGGTATCGCGCCTCCAGCCCCGCATCCGTACTCTGAGAGGCCTAGACGAGCTGCCTCCATCTTCTCCTGGCGACGCCATTTTGCTCTGCGGTTTTGGAACCACACCTGGAGAGAGGACAGTTGTTTTATTACCTCATTTTGTGATTATAGGCACAGCTATAGGTAAAAAATGTGTTCTCAAATGGCGACCACGGGCCGGAAGACAAATGTGGACAGGCCTCTCATTAGTTAGACCGACGATCCGGTGAAGGTCGCGGGAAGTAGGTACTTGGATGCGAGCAGCACAGGAGCGGTCGTTGTGAAAATCCTTGGGGAAGCTTTTGTCCAGCTGGGGAGTGGGGACGTCGTGTGCCTGAAACGAATGAACTAAGAACTAACGAAATAAGAGTGTTTTCCGGAAAAGCAGAACGGGACCACCTCCACTCTTCCCTTGTAATTATGTCGTAAAAGATGACTAAGAAATATTATTATGCAATCATCAAGCGTCCCCAACCCGTTTAGCCAGCGTGGAGAGTGTAGACCAAAAATGTTCCATAATGTCTGGTAAATTATAGAGGGCGTGCTCCTGCATTGGAAACTATACATATAACCTGATGACACTAATTCGCTGAACCGATAGCATTAGAGGTTGTAAT